AACTGCCCTTGGTGGGGACCGTTGGGGCCGTCCTTCCCCGGCAGCCGCCGTGGGAACAGGACCGGCACCTTCCTTGGGAACGGGAGGCAGTGAAACCAGATAGGAGGGCGGCCAGCAGAGCGTGTTGCAACCGGCTCTGGCGAGCGCCTTTCCGAAAGGCTTCAAAATTCCAAAATGTGGCTTTGGGGATGGACAGATCCAGGCTTGGAAACACCTAGGGGGGAGGACAATGGTGTCAGCCAGGTACCAGGGCAGAGCTGGGCTCCCTTGCCCGTGCACATGGGGTGAGCTGGGGCTGGAGGTGGGTGTGGATGCCTCCAGAAGGACCCACAGATGTGGAGCCGATGTCCTCTGACACTGGTGCCACATCCCTCTGTCCCCAAAGTGGTCCATGGCTCACCCGGAGAAGTGGGATGAGCCTCTTCTCCCAGCTCCGATCCCGGCTGGATCTTCTTACCCATCCCCACGTGCCGACACACTGCCATGTTTCCAGCCCGGCCAGGCCCCGCTGTCACTTCCCAGCTCGTGGGGAGCCACCACACGTGGTGCCACCCTGGGGTCCCGACGTGGGCACTCGCAGGCCCTTCAGGCTGCAGGATTCCCTGCAGGAGAGGGGCTGGAGCTGCTGCACCGAGAGATGTGTCAGGAAGGCTCTCGTCCCGTCTGCTCACCCGATGGGGGACCCGTGCCACTCCCTGCCCCTGTGGCCGCAGGGTGCCCAGCACCCTGCTCCTGTTAAAGCTTGGTAGACTTAGCTTCCCAACTGGAATACTGCCAAAGGGGTGGGAGGGGAGAGCTGGGGGGTAAGAAACTCCTGTTGCAGCATGCCAGCGGGAGCATCCCGTGCATCTGGAGGCAGGTTGGAGCAGGCGCAGCCCAGGTGCCGACTGCCCCGGGGAAGAGCCCAGCTCCCTGGGCTGGTCCTGCAGAGCTGGGCTTTGGCGGGGGCCGCTGTGCCCTTGTCCCGCATGGGGCTCATGTGAGGCACTGAGATGAGTTGTTCGTGCCAGGGATGCTCAGCCCTCGCACTGCAGTGGCATGGTGTGTGCTGTGCTGTGGGTGGCACACCTGGATGTCACCTTCAGGTAGGCTGGGGACACCTCAGCCAGCCTGGCTGTGGTGACAGCACCCCGCCGGGATGGTCCTTTCCTTTCCCTGCAGAAACAGGCTGGGAAAACGCATCCCATGGGAACGTGATGCCAGGCAGAAAGGTGCTAATGGTCAGCTGGTGGCTTTCCCAGCTCGGGCTGTGCCCGCTGTCCCCCTTTGCCATGGCCCTCGGGCTGTCACTGTGCGGAGAAGGTGCGATGCAGCGTGACAGGCAGGGACAAGGCAGGGCAAGTGCCACCTCAGGGGAGCTGCCGGGGTGGTGACAGCCCCGTCGCCGAGTGCCGGCTCTTGCGCAGCCGGGCGTGTAATCCGCTTACGGGGGCACCAGCGCAGCCCCAGGCTCTCGCCGTGATAGATCCCTGCTCCTGCCGGGAGTGTGGGGTGGGACAGTTGGAAAGCGGGGGGTGTTGTAGGAGAGCTGTGCTGTGCTGGGCAGGGGGCTTTGGGGTGTGAGGAGCGCCACTGACGGGGTGCAGAGCCCAGCCAGGCTGGCGGGGTGCTGGTAGGGTGCTGCAACCTGCGATGGGGAGGGAAAGGGGCTGCAAAGTCATTGGGGAGGTACAGTGTCAGCCAGGGATGTGGCACTGGTGGCACTGCTCCCCTGGACTGGCCTGAGCAGGGATGGGTGGGGATGGTGGGGTCTCTGCCCCTGATGTTGGGTGGCCTCAAAGCTGGGTGGGGGGAGATCTGGCGCTGGCGTCAGGAGCGTGGCTGGCATCCAGGGATGCTGGGGATTGGCACATCTAGGCCCTCTCCATGTCCTCCCGATTGCTGTTGATCAACCCCTGCTCTGTGCTTGCTCTGATGCGTCTTGATGTGCATCAAGGTGAATCACCATCCCGGGTGACCCCCAGTGACAGCAGAGCTCCTCTTGAGGCACCATTAACTCTTTGCCTCCCCGAGGATGAGCTGGGGAAGCTGAGGCAGGACCACTGGAGCTCCTGCCTGGAAGCCCTGTGGTGGGCATCATCCCTGCTTCTCCCATCCCAGGGTTGGGTCCTTCCCAGCTGGACCTATCAGGCCCAACCGGAGCAATGGCTTGGAGCTGTGTGGGGAAGCTTTAATTATCAGGTGCAAAAATGTTGAGTTTTCAAACAGGCTTTCATGGGAAACCAGGTTTTTCCCCTTGAAGAGGCTGGGGGGCCCTGCCAGGGCAGCTGCGGGGCTCTCTGGGGTGGGGAGTGGGAGAGGACCTGGTGTGCATCGGAATGGAGGAGGTTTTTATCCTGGGATGGAGGTGTTTGCCAGGGCTGAATGTCCTCCTGGGCTGTAGCCAAGCTGGGTGCTCAGCCCAGGGAGTGGTGCTGGTGGTGGTGCTGGTGGTCCTGTCTTGCTGTCTCCTTGGCCAATGATGCTTTGCTGGCCCTTGACATCCCCACAACTGGGCAGCAGCTGGGTTTGGCTCTGCCCTGGGGCCCCCTCTCCCCTCCTGTGTCCCTGACACTGGTCCTGCCCCCAGCACCCGTGGGGGCTGTGCCTGGCTGCTGGGTGCCGTGGGTGCCTGGGCCACGGTGCCTGCCCAGGGTGGAGTTATGCTAATGCTGCTCCCCATCCCTCGGCGCAGCCAGTGCTGCTCAGCATCCTCTCCCAGCCACGGGTGACGCCAGCTCTGCCATGGCCACCTGCCCTGAGCTGCAGCCTGGGCAAGAGGTATGGGGGCTGCATCCCTCCCCGGTGGAGTGAAGGAGGGGGCAGACAGGGATGGGGGGACCCAGAGCACCCTGGTGCTGTGGGGAGGTGCCACAGCTGATGCCCCATCCCCGGGACAGCCTTGCTGGGGGATGCACTTGCTGCAGGACCCCTGAGGGTGCTAGGATGCTGTGCAAACCCCCCCTGTGCTACAGCATCACTAAGGCCATCAGCTTCTCTGGGGTGGGGGATGAGGGGGAGTCCCAAAGGGCTGGAGCAGCAGTGGGGCCAGGAGGACTTGGCTTCCGTCCCTGTGCAGCCCCTGGCTGGGCTGTGCTGCGGTGGGGGGCTGGTACTGAGCCCCCCCAGGTCAAGGTCAGCAAGGAAGAGCATGATACAGTCACGCAGACCTGCTGAGTGCTATCGACCCATGGGGGGAGAGGGGAGTGCAGGGACCCTGCAGCCCCCACTGTGGGGGCACCCCCCAGGTCTGGCCCCATGGTACCCTGTGCCAGTGGCCACAGGGCTGCCAGGAAGGGGGGGCAGGGGTGCGAGCATGCAGCCCCAGCAGCGCCGTGACCTTGTTTCCAGCTCGCTAATTCTGCGCCTCTTGCCTTGCCGCCGGCATGGCAGCCATCCCCGCTGATGGAGCAGGGATACGGGACGGGGGAGGACACGTATCAGCACGGAGGTCTCTCGCCTCCCCCCCGATGGGGGGGGGCACTGACCCCCAGGTGGGAGCCTGCAGGGTCAGGGGCTCCCCCAGGTGCTGTGTGCCCCCCATTTGGGGGTGTCCCTGCCCATGGGGCTGGGGTCTGCTAGCAGTTGCCGTGGCAGGGTGTTGGGGGACCCCGGTGCCTGCTGGCAGGAAGGCTTGGTCCAGCGGGAGCTGCTGCCAGACGTGCCCTTGGGAACGCGTCTCCTCCCGCCAGCGCTCGTAAACAGGATGTGGAGCCATCTCAGTCCCGGCGTCCCTGTCCCTCGTCCCAGCCCTGCCACCCCACGGGGCCACCAGCTTGGTTGCTGCTGTGCCCGGCCCCCCTGGTGCTGCCTGCACCAGCTCCAGGTTGGGCAGAGCCAGGGTGAGGGGGTGTCGGGGTCCTGGTGCATGCGAGGACACGGCCTGAGCATGGCTGTGGAGTTCGTAGCCCCTTTGCACGTCAGGTTGTGCTGCCCCGAGCCCTTTGCAGGTGGCATTGGGTGATGGCTGTGGGTCAGGACCCCTGCCCTGGCTGTCCCCTGGGCCATCACCCATGCTGAGACCCTGCAAGTGGGCGGGCAGGGGGGCACAGGCAGACCCCTGCCCACCATCTGCCTCCCCCCTGCGTCCAGCCCCACTGCCAGCTCCACCGCTGCTGCTGTTCATCTCTTCTTGGTGTTTCTCCCTCCTTCCCGGCATCCCCTCCCCATCGTCCTGGCAGGCCATGGGGTGTGCAGGGGTCCTGGCTACCCCAGAAGACCCTGAAGAGCAGCAGGGTGCCCAGGGGGAAGGTCCCAGTCCCTGTCCCCCAGAGTGCCAGGAGTTGACTGCCGTCCCTATGCCGCAAGCTGTAAGCATGGGACTATGGCTGTCCCCGCTGCCATCCCCAGGGCTGTCCCCAGGGCGGTGGCTGGTCCCCTGGGGTGGCTGTGTCCCCCCTCTCCTCCCATCCCTGCCATCCTTGGGGTGCATGCATCTGGCTGCTGTGGCTTGGCGGCTCGCGGTGCTGAGTTGGGTGATGCCACCTTGGGCTGGCACTGCCACCATGGCTGTCCCCTGAGGCTGAGCTGACCCAGCTCCTGCGGGATTGCCCACCAGCCGACAGCCCCAGGAAGGTGGAGCCCCCGGAGAGCCGTCGGGAGCCTGGCCACCCCCTCTGTGGTGGGGGCAGGGTCCCCCCTGACGAACCTGCTGACGAGAGGGATGCCAGGAGCTGCTCCCGGTCTCGGCCCTTGGATTTCCAGCAGCACATCGCAGCCCCACCGCCCCC